CTCTATCTCTCTCCCTTCCTCTCTGTAAAAAATCAATAAAATATATTAAATTAAAAAAAAAAAAACTACGGGAAACAAATGAGCCATGTTTGCAGATGTTTAGCTCTTTGGAAGCCAGTTTCCTGAGCATAAGAAGTTGAGAGCCCGTTCTGAACTTTGTCCCTTTGAATTCAAGCTGCCAGCATTTTCACCAATGTGATTCTCTTTAAAATTTTGTGGATTTTCTAGGAATCTGATGAGCAGTTCACTCTGTATTCCAAAGCCACATCCATAATTATTTTTGAGTTGAACCTGCATCTAATTCTGGCTGCCTATGAGGATACAAAGGATCATTAGAAGCCCGTTGGTCTACATGAGAGGGTCTACTAGGCACCACCTTCAATACTTCTGAGGCCTTAACAAAGATCTTACAATGATTTTTATTATATTCACAAATTTGAAGCCATCGCCACAATCAATTTTAGAACATTCTCATCACATCAAGAAAAAATTATATGATTGCTACCCCTCCCATCCCCTGCCCATCCCCCATCCTTCCCAGCCCTAAGCATTTCTTAAGCATCACTTGTTTTCTAGTGACACAGACCTTAGGTAAAGTTCAACATTATCAGCCCTTCCTTTTGTTCAATATTAATGAATACAATAGGTTCCTAAACAACTAAGAGACGAGTATAAAACTCCTGAGCAAGACGAAGCAGGATCTGATTAATAGTCTTTCTGAGACTTTTGTTGGTGTTGTTTCTGTAAAATAAGTTAAATCGTATGTTGAAAGGGAACAGCACAGCTCAGTTGTGGTAGAATTTTGAAGTCTGGGCATCTTGCATAGGATTCCTGGAATGAAAAAGATAAATATTAATATAAGAGTTTGAGTCACACCCTATGGAGCACAAGTCTGGTAGATTCCAAAAGGTTCGTGGAAGAAAACCTTTTGATTAGGCAGCACTGCCGATAAAAGAGATGAAGACCACCCGCATAGGTACGAGCAACGACTATTTATTCAGAGCCTGATGTATAGCCAGGGAGTCAGCCACCACCACTTACATCTGGCAGAGTCTGAAGCAAACAGAGCCGGGCATTTTGGTCACGAAGGAAGTAGTACTCAGCAGGCACACGCAGAGATCTGGGGGAACAGGAGGCAATCATGACATGAGGTCAGAACCAAGGCCTTGCATCAGTTTGGCTACATATTTGGATCTCTTATTAGTCTCTTCCACATGGCAAGTATGTGACCCATTGTCCTAAAATGGCTGTGAAAATATAACTTAGAATCACATAGGGTATGATCAGTAGATTGTAATAATTGGAGAGATGGATACTGGTCAAGTAATTTACCGGTTGATTTGTTTAATATCATCTTTCCATGTAGGTGCAAGTAGAAATGCCATCAGCTATATCTCCTTGTGGTTTCATTAGAAGAGATTAGAATTGCCCAGGGGTTTTATAATGGAGTCCAGTGATGCATGGCATATCCAGCAGTCAGTTAGACGGAGGGCAGTGGCTACTATTAGAGATAATTTAAGAATGGCATTAAAATAAATATATTCTGACTAACAATTATTTAAGGAGGGGGGAATAAGATAAAAATTACTACTGTATGTGGATAACAACCAAGGGTCTATAGAAAATGAGAAGAAGAGAAAGAGGTCCTACTCTAACATCTTGGGCAGAAGCTGCCCATTGTCTAAAGCAGTGGTTCTCAACCTTGGCTGTACACTATAATCACCTGGGAATCTTTTTAAAATCCTGATTTCTAGCCCTGACCAGTTTGGCTCAGTGGATAGAGCGTCAGCCTGTGGACTGAAGGGTCTCAGGTTCGATTCCAGTCAAGGGCATGTACCTTGGTTGCAGGCACATCCCCAGTGGGGAGTGTGCAGGAGGCAGCTGATGGATGTTTCTCTCTCATCGATGTTTCTCTCTATCCCTCTCCCTTCCCCTCTATAAAAAAAAAATCAATAAAATATATATATATATTTAAAAATCCTGACTGATTTCTGGGCCTCATATTCCGGAAATTCTGTTTCTTTGTTACTAATGTTGTGGCCCCATCCCATAACAAAGAAAGAATTTCCAGAGGATGAGGCCCAGAAATCAGGATTTTAAAAAGATTCCCAGGTGATTCTAATGTGCAGCCAAGGTTGAGAACCACTGGTCTAAAGTCATCTGCTTGTTCCAAAGATCAGCTGTGTCTACAAGACCTCTGAGTGTCCTCAATTTGAAATCCCATGTTGGAGTAGCCTTCCAATTGTGTGGAGTTCTAAATCACTTCTTTAGCTGTTAAACATGAATCCAAGCATTGACTCTGTCTGGCATGTCACTGTTGTATTTGTTGTTTACAGTACCAGATAAGGTCCTTTCCAATGAAGTCAAGAGCAGCAGTTTTCCTATGATGTCTCTTCCAATAAATGAAATATCCTGTTTGATGATCACGAACAGATGGTTTAGGAAAATATGTTGGAAAGATACACTAAACCTATAAGTGAAAGAACTGGGTATAGTCCAAGAGTCCCTTGCAATATTTTCCCATGTCACCATGCAGTATGGCAAGTGTCTAATATTGGAGTAAAATCCCCAAATGTGTGGACCCTCCAGTTACTAATTCATAAAGGAATAACCACTGTGTCCCCAAGGGAGTGGCCATAGAAACTATAAAAGCTAGTGAAAGTACCTTTGGCCAAGGGAGCTCAGGGTTTCTGAAAGTTTTGCTGATTTGTATTTAAGGATTGCCATTGGTCTTTTCAATCTTTTCAGAAGATTGTCCTATATAATAAAAGGCTAATATGCAAATAGACCAAACGGCGGAAAAACCAACCAACCAATCTCTATGACATGCGATTGACCACCAGGGGGCACACATGGAACATAGAGGGCATTGGCAGCAGGCTGTAGAGTGCTGAACATGGTGGGTGTAGGCTGTGGCAGGATGGTGGAGCAGGTGAGCGGGGGCACCAGACCAAGGCAGGGCGCCAGTCTTTGTCATTGGGGCGAGCCTCTGGTGGTTACTGAAAATTCTTTGCTCCCATGCACCGTGGTCCCACAAGGCGTTGCACCTGCTTCTGGCGCCGGCCCCACTCGCACCCGAAGCTGGCACCAGAGCAGCCACTTGCACCTGCTGCCGGCTCCCAGTGCCGGTCCTGATCACCCCTGAGGGCTTCTCCACCTCCCCTTGCTCCTGAGGGGCGATCAGGGAAGCAGCCGCTGCTCACACCTGCTGACAGGACCAGCCCCACTCGCACCCACAGCTGGAACCAGCCCCAATCGCTCAGTGCCATCAGCATATAGGAGCGGTGGCAGTGGGAGCAGGGCTGCTGGTAGACAGGGAACTGGGGCTACAGTGGGAGGTGCCAGTTGGGGGTGCAGAGGAGGGCCGAGACCAGCCCCTGTGCCCACAGCAGCCTCACGGCCCATGGTTCCTTTCAAGGTGCACGAATTCGTCCACTGTGCCCCTAGTAGGTAACAAGGACAGTACAGTTTCTGAGCAGAGAGTAATGTCTTACAGATTTTTGTGTGATGGTTTCTGTTGAGTGTGTACTCCTAATCACTTGATATAAAAGTTGGGATGCCCCAAATAGAAACCACAAAATCAAGCAGCTTTTCAGTGGTCATAAGGTTTGTAGCTTGTCAGCAAGGAAATACTTAAGCCTGCCCTGAAAAATGATAAACAATAACTAAAACATATTCAGATCCCATAGAGGTTGGATGAATTCCATCTGAGCTTGTTGAATGTGTCATGGAGGCCTTGGGTCCTTTTTTTTGTCCCACCTTTGCAGTTTTAAAAGGACTAAGTTGCTGACAGGTGATACATGACCTGAAAGTAGCCTCAGCTGTGTTTTTAAGGTTTCCTCGCCAATGTTGATTTAAATGAACAATCCAAAGAACAAAGTAAACTGACAAACAAAATAGAAATGAGGCCTGGAGACATGGAACATACTGACAGCTGTCAGAGGGGAGGAAGAGGGGGGACTGGATGAAAGAAGAAATTCGCCGAAGAATGTTATGTTTTTAAAAGTAAGGCAGAATATTGGATGCATTTTTCTCCCTCAGAGCACCCTCACTGACAAGAATTGAGGACATTTTTTTTGTCTTGGTTTTTCTTTGATAAGATTAGACCCTCCCCCACCCCCCATTTTCCTTTTTACAATATCTGCAAGAGTCCTTATCAATAAGTGGTGTTTGGGAAGTGGTCTAAACAGCTGTTTGATCTTTAGGGCCATGACTTTATTTTGGATCTTATCTCATTTTTATTCTAAAGCTATTTCAAAATGTATGCCAGGTTTTGGGGGGTTTTTTGGTTCAGATAAAGGGGTTATTTCCCATTATAATTTCTTTCTGTGAATTAGATGACCAATATCAGGTTTAGCTCCACTGACAAAATGAGATGAAGGGGCTGCTGTTATATCAGCATTTTCTTCAACTCTCAGGTGTTTTTAGAAGATACTTTCTAGTCTATACTTAAAACCTCTTATAGTTTCATCTTTAATCTTTTTTACATGATTTAATTATGGTCCAATCAATTTTTATTAAAATGTTTCAGGTGTGGCTTCTAGGATACTTTGCCTTATTTTTAAAGCCACTTTTTGACTCTTAAGTTTATTGTGGAAAGAAGGATCCAGTAGGTCCCTTTCTGGGTAAATCCAATCAGCTTTTACCCACAGAACTTAGCATCTGAGGTTCCAACCAACCAACGTGTGTACAATTTGGTACAGATCAAGTAATAATGGGTCAGATGCACCCAAAAGAATTCTAAATTATTTTATGAATATTTGTTGGTCTTACCTATGTTTCAAGAAATCTTTACAGCTTTTAATTCAGCTTGAGTCAGTCCAAGGTTAAAATTCTATCATTTCCTGCACACCTAGCACCTGGTAAGGATGAATTTTTAGAGGCAACTGGCATTGATGGTTGTAGGATAGTTGGGAAAAGGGAAAAAGTCTGGACAAGGGAAAGAGAGGATGCTTGACAGAGATGTGAAAGAAAAGAGATCAGAATTGAAGGGTAAGAGGGGAAAAAGGGCAGGATGTAGGGAAGCAACTGGAGGACATAGAGGAGGATTTACTAGGTAAATTAGTCTACTTTGTTGCTGTGACATAAGTTTGTCAAATGGCTTGTAGCTTTGGCCAAATATTCTTTTAGTGGAGCAATTTTTTTATTCAGATTTTTGTTTGGAGCCTCTGAATACCCATCAAAAAATGCTGCCCATTTGGACTGAGAAGTCTTATTTTCTTTCTTTTATAAGGAACCTTTCAAATGAACAATTTGTTAAGTCCAATGCTCCCTAGGGTACCCTCTGAAGGCCTCGTCATAATCATGTCATTGGGAAAGATAGATAAAGGAATTAGGACTGTAATGAGGGTAAATATAAAGAGCAACAATTTCCCTGGAAAAGGAGATTTGGGTTTAGATGAGCCTCTGAGAGCTGGCAATAGTTGGTACAAAGAAAATGCTGTGCATCTCATATGTCAGGTCCCCAAACTGATGACTGGTTGCCTCCAAACACAGACCCAACAATCTGCACCCCCAGGCAGAAAGAATGTTCTCTCTGAATGAAAAAATAAAGCTCTGAGGACTAAAACTGGAGGCGGAGGGAGAACCTCATCCAGTTTTATTGGTGACCTACAACAAAGTTTGTCCAAATGGACAGTTCTGATAACGACAGAGTCACTGGTCTGCAGACAGCCAGGACAACCGGCTGATAAGGCATATGCCTGTGTTCTACCCAGTGATTGTCCTTCTTATGACAGATAACACCTTGCGACAGCTCACCACGAAATGGTAACACAAATGCAGCCAACGGGAATGAAAAGAATTGTTGGATTCCACTAAGGAGGTCAAACAAACGGGAACCGATAACAACACCTGGGTGCAGATCTGAGACTAAATAACCAATTCCACACAAAGAGAGTGGAGGGTGGACCTGGTGCTGACTTACCACATTGTTGTGGACTTGACAAGAGGTGAGCAGCAAAGCGCAAGGGCTTCCACACCTGGATGAAGACTGGAGTCCATGCTCACGACCAGTGGAAACTGTATCTTAGTGGAGCCTCCAAGGAAACTATGGAAATAAATGAAGATCACCTCAATGAAAACAAGCAAATGCTATTTAGTCAGGGCTTGCTATAGGAAGAGAGTCACCACCATCACTTGAGTTTGGCAGAAACTCAAATGTGTGTAGTGTAGTGGGAAAGCGCCAATGCAGGGGTGGGGAACATCGGCCCGTGGACTGTATAAGGCCCAAAAATCATTTGATTTGGCCCAGCCAAGGCACTAGGGGTGAGTTAATGAAATGTTTGACCAAATATAGCAGGCTGATTTTTAAGCTGATAATTTTGTATAGCCCACAAATGATGTTGTAAATATCTAAATGGCTCTTGGCAGAAAAAAGGTTCCCTACCCCTGCTCTAGTGGGAAAGGGGGAAGGTTTCAGGTGTGCCCTACCTAGAGGCTGTTGGTATGAGAAGCTGGAAGCAGGCTAACTAGAAGTGGGTCATCCAATATAATTTGTTAGGAATACATGTTTGGCTTTCTATGGTCAGTCCTAAGTTAAAAAAGTAGGGGGAAAAATTAGGGAAGCTGTCAGTTACTGACTAGGACCTGATTTGGGGCTGACGTTGTAGATGGACTCTTAGACTGGTAGCTATGGAGGAAGTGTGTCAGAGTTTTACCTGTATAGAGTGTCCCGAAATTCATGCAAGATTTGAATTTTGCGTGAGCATTAACAACAACAACAATAAAAAATAAAAGCCTAATTTTACTTGGTTTATTGAATCTGATTCTAATATCTGTTGCCCTTTGATTTCAATCCCTTCAATTTTTTAAGCATTA